TAGCTGTGATGCTAATCTCTGCCTCGCCGCAGCAGCTTTAAGAATCCACTGGCAAATCCATCTCAGTTTAAGTTACAATGCGACTGTCTTTACGTGCTGAGGTGAAGTGGACCAGAGCAGAGGTTGAACTGTACATTCGCATCTTTTTTATTTTTTTTAATTTAATTTTAGATTTTTTTTTTTTGCGTGGCTCTCGCTCTCGGATTCATGCATGCCTTCTGTTATTTCAGCTGCTGAGTTTTGCATTGGACCACCGACGTATTGGATGGATTAAAGTAAAAAACATAAATAAATGAACTGAATCTGAAACAAAAATAAAATCTGCAATGAAATTTAAACGCAGTGCTTATTAAAACTAGATTGCCGAACTAAACCGGTTTTTATCCATTCGCTCATCTGTCTGCGTCCATCTCACGGTGTCTACCGGGATTGTTCAGATCCACCCAATCATTACTCCTTTCACACTTTGCCTGCCTTCTTTGATTTGCAGTATTCACCTTTGCCTCCTAACAATCCAGCTTTGTTTGCTGCAAGTTTCACTGTAAAATTTCACTGTTTGGAGAAAAAGAAAAAAAGGAAAAAAAGAAAAAGAAAAGTGAAGTGTTGAGTGTCGTAATAGTCCTTGTTTTAAAACTGTTAATATTTTTAGTTGACACATTCTTGGTATAATACTTGCCTATCTGCTATTGACTGGAAACCTCAATTGTTATTTTAACCCCTTCCTTTGTTAGTCGGAAAGATTTTTTATATTCTGTAAATGAACTTGGTGATATTATTTGCAATTTTGAAAAGAGATATTCATCTGAAAAAAAAAAGGTTTGCGTTTTTTTAATGAAAAATTACTGAAGAAACAAGACCAGATAAATACCTCTAGGCTGTATGAAAATCAACCTGTTTTAAGTGTGAGTGGATGAGCAGACACATTAAATACTCTGTTACAATAAAGGAAAAAAAATCTTAACTAAAACTGAATTAAAGGGCAGTCTTCTATATAGAGTCAGTATTTACTATTGTTGAACTTTTGGTTTACCTTAGCAGTGTTATTAAAATATGCAAATTCCCACTTTTGTTTCATATAAAGGAAATAAGACAAATGATTCAGAACAACCACTTCTCAAACAGCCATGTGATCTGATTCTGCTCTGTTTTGACAGAAGAAAGTTTCTTTTGTAAAACCCAGTGTCTTTTTATTCTATTTATTCAACTTATTGTTCATTTAAAGGTTAATCTAGTTAAAAATTAAGGTACCAATGT